TTAAATATCAAGGAGCTATCCAAGTTCAATTTAAATACAGCAACACCATCAAGTCCCATGGGACTGCTCAGGGCATGCATTTAGGTCAAAGAGTGAACTGGGGACCACCACAACTTTGATCRTCTCCCCATTCAAATACAAGGATAAAACCACGTATGCCCCAAAAGCAGGCAGCAGAGGAAAATCAAAGTAGCTCAGAAAACCACGCAGAGCCATTGTCTTTCTTCTGTAAATTTATGTTTGATGACTCATAACAGAAATATCTTTCTATGTCAAAATGAAAAGCTTTCTGTGTTTGATAAAGTCTGAAAATCCTATCTGAAGTCTGGAGTTAAAGACAATTGTGGTACTTAAACTATTGGAACTGTTACAAAACTGGGATATGGAGGCAGGTAGTAGAATAACCTCTTTAAAAAATTCTAGATATTTGGCTAAAAGATGCAATGAAATTGTGACTGTAGCCTGAGGGATAGAAGGATATTTGTTTTTAAAATGAGAATACACAGTCTTAATGTAGTGTAAACTACAGAACTACAGAATCTATTCCATCTCTTAGGATACTCTTTTACTTTAGTATTTTGGTTTTTACAATTAAGAATGTAACCTTTTTGCAAGAAATTTGAATATTTAAGTCTTCTTGTTCTAAGTACAAGCATACTGCAGATCATAGCAAATCCTTTTTAACAGTGATTAATTTTTCTGTGTTTGAAGTGTGGTTGCAGTTGTGTATGCAGGCTAAAACAAAAAAGCTGTACTATCTAAAAAATACAAAATRTAAGATTGCTGGATAAATATGTTTTAATACAAATGTGATTAGCGTTCTTCATGACAAGCTAGAAACAAGACCATAAACTGATGTAAGTTGTCTATGTAAGATGTCTTCAAATTTGTTTTTCAAATCTATCAAATAAAAATATATCATCTTCTCTAAATAAAAAAGTACAACACATTCTCTATATTCTCTTGCTTCTGAAACTCATAAAAATTWCATAAGTTATGGCAACACCTATGCCATCATCCACATGCCAAGTGCCACCATAACCATTTGACCTATAATAAGTCTCTTCTAAGTGTGCATAAACCAATAACCCAATGAAAAGAAATGGCATCCTGGTGGACAATCTAACTGAAAGCCCTTGCTCCTTAAACTATTAAATATTGGAAGGCAGCAATTTTGGGTATCTTGTGGAAAAGTGCCATTGAAAACAGCAATTCTTTAAGTTTCAAGCAAAGTAGTTTGCCTATGTGGTGGGTTGACCCTGGCTGGATAGCTGGTGCCAGTCAAAGCTACTCTATCACTCCCCTCCTCAGCTGAATAGAGGAGAGGAAATATAACAAAAGGCTCATGGGTTGAGATAAGAACAGGCAGAGATCCCTCACTAGTTACTGTCATGGGTAAACAGACTTGACTGGGGTAAATTAGTTTAGTTTATTGCCAATCAGATTAGAGTAGGATAATGAGAAATACAAACGAAACCTTAAAAAGACCTTTCTTGACCTCTCATTTCTTCTTGAGCTTAAGTTTACTCACAGTTTTCTCTGCCTCCTGAGAAGTGGAGGGGTGCAGTGGTGCAGGAGTGSTGCAGGGGGATCAGACATGGGGGTTTGCAATCAGTTTATCACATGTTGTCTCTGCTGCTCCTTCCTTCTTGGGGAGGACTCTTCACATTTCCCCTGCTCCAGCATGGGGCCCTTACCCTGGGAGACCAATTGTCCAGAAACTTCTCTAATGTGAGTTCTTCCCATGGGCTTCATGAAACTGCTCCAGTGTGAGTTCCTTCCATGTGATGCAGTCCTTCAGAGCAGACAGCTCCAGTGTGGGTTCCACACAGGGTCCTAAGGCCTATCAGAAAACCTGCTTCAGCATGGGCCMTTCCATGGGGCCACAGGTTCTGMCAGGAGCCTGCTCCAGCATGGGCTTCCCACRGGGTCWCAGACTCGTTTGGGCATCCACCGTTCTGCAGTGACATCATCTGCAGGCTGCAGGTGCATATGTGCTCCACCATGGATCCTCATGGGCTGCAAGRACACATCCTGCCTCACTGTGGTCTTCACCAGAGGTTGCAGGGGAATCTCAGCTCCAGCATCTGARGCACCTCCTCCTGCTCCTTCACTGACCTTGGTGCAAGCAGAGCTGCTCCTCTCACATATTCTTACTCCTCTCTTCGGCTGAAGCTGCTGGTTCTTGGTTTCTCTTCCCCCTTCTGAAGTATATTGTTGACTCAGAGGTGCTACTGCTCTTACTGACAAGCTCAGCACTGGCTCTGTCAGACATGGGGAAGCTCATAGCAGCTTCTGACAGAAGCAAACCCTGTAGCCCACAAACACCCAAAACAGCCTGTACATATATTCATAGAAGCATAAACACTGCAACCAGCCAGATACTGTCCAGGGGAAAGAGGCTAGAAGAAAGCAATCATTGTGCACAATACAACTATTTCAGTATTGTACTGTACTGAATAACTGCTGACTGAGTATAAAATCATGTTTAACATATAGACATTTAAAGTTAATACTGACTGGATCTTGATGGGGTAGACTTTTTGCTATATCAATGCTGGAATAGTACTGTCAATTAAAATTCACTCATCATAACCAAAGATACTTGGACGTATTATGAATAATGGAAATAGATAATGTGGCAAAAAATACTATACCTCTTCCATATCATAGCCTACAGGACACTTTTGAAACACAAAATTTAAAAAAATATAGCCATCTGAATGCAAAAGGTTAAATCACTTATTCTGGATGGATTCTATATACTACTTTGATACATACCAATAAAAGTCAGAGCAGTTTAGAAAGTTAGCAGACTGTCCATACCACCTATAATCTTTTAGCTGTGAGCTTTCCAATGGGAGCCACAATTATTAGCATAAATTAAACTTTCAGAACAGTCATGATAATACACAGGTTAAAAGTTCTCAACTTAAAAAAAAAAAAAAAGGCAAAACCAAAAGACTGTATGCTTTAYCAAAAAGCTGAGCACTTAATCCTAGAACTTGTGAAAGATAGGTGAAATTCTTAACAGATAATATTAACATACCACATAGAAACATAAAGCTGTCACTTACCACCAGTTACATGGACAGTAAGACCAGGAATCTAACAATCTGTATTTTAACTTCATTTAGAATTCAGGCCATGTAACAATTTACCCAATGATAGAGAATAAGTATGGTGATCTCACATATCTTTGCAGAATAAAGGAATTGACAGAGATGCCRGTCCTCTATTTGTACACTTACTAAGCAAGCTAAGAAAGGAAGGATTGTTTTATGTTCTTGGAGAAGGAAGCATTTYGTATGTACACAAACTGAAGTGATAAAATAACCATCCATTAGAACTTATTCATATGAGCATGAAAGTCACAGAGGATGTCTAAGAGAGAAATTTTCACTGAATGAATGGTAGTGATAAAAGAGGCCAGAATCACGCATTTGGAAATAGAACTCTAAGTATTCTTCCTGTTTACATACCAACTGAAAGAGAAAAAAAGAGCTTACAAACTGAGTTTCATGATGACCATCTACAATTTAAGAGCATTTTTTTCCAAATAATCTTCACTGTATAGTCAGACCTGAATCTATTGTATTTATTATATTCAGTATTATTTTTGCTACAGGGCAAAGAACTCTGAAGTGACTTTTTGCATACTGCCAAGTGAATGATGTATTTCAATTCAGAATCATTATAATCTCCCTAGAATTCTGTTAATATATTTTTTACTTCAGGCACACTGATACCCTAATTTCTTAAATTATTTAGCAATTCATTAGATGAAGAATAAAGGCATAAACACACTAAAGAATTATTTCTGTAGAAAATAAGATGTTCTGGACAGGGAGAAAGAGGTAGCCAGTTCTCTGGTTTGGAATTGAGGTCAGTAGGCAGTAATTAAGACTGACAAAGATAAGGAAGTAACAGTTTATAAGAGCAAAACATTCTCCATTGAATACCATAGTTTTACTGCACATATTTGTCTTCTAATATTTTCTCATATCACCATGTATCAAATGGGTACTCAAGTACTGGGCCTCCAGAAATGATTTAAACTATTTCCCAAAGAATAATTATTACAAAGAAACTAAGATTCCTTCAATCTAAGGAGACTGAATGCTATTACAGCTCAACAGGCCTGACACAAAACTMGGGAGCTTGGAATAGCTCATATTTTTCTAGTACTGCAGTTAAGATATACCAGAAAAAAATCAGTTTGGTCTCACTCCTTTCTAGTTTTCTCAGCAATTGTAATACATCATTAAAGCCTTTAAATGAGCAGACACTGACTTAGCATATAKTCTTCCTGGATTGTAGCTGGGCAATATGTCTATGTTGCAAATGCAATCTTCAGCCTGAACAAAATCAGTAGATGGAAACATGCCAGAAAATACATTTTACTGAGGCACCGATTCAAATTTTTGCTTAAATTTTTAATCTTAAAACCGTCCTTTAAATATAGGGACTATGAAGTTATGTATTTGAACATTTAAGATTGACATATTTGAGATTGCAAGAGAATGAAATAAAATAGCACAGAGCCTCTGTTTATCTGATTGAAGTGAATTCTACCTTACTGTATATTCTGTACAAGTAAAACAAASAGACACTTTTTAGAATGCATTTGCCTGAAGTTAAATTGTGTCTGTCTTCCACATATTTTTATAAATCGAAGTCTTTGGATTAATTAAGATAGGGCTTCAGCTTCTTCAGCTGGTTTAACTGATCTAAACACTTCTTGATGAACTGCAGTACCATTTCCATCTACCAGGAGATGCTCTCATTTCCTTCCTCAGGCTCATCTTTTCTTACAGTTTTCTTTTTCTTATTCTGACTGGATCATATTTCCTGATCCACCCACCCAGTCTCAAACATCACAATGCTCCCATCTCCACAAAGGGGTAGTAGGAATGCAATTTGTAACACAAAGGAAGACTAGGCTTCTGTTAAATCTCAAATTCTTTCCTAAGACAAGTGAAAAGATTTGAGGAAAAAAAAAAAAAAAAAAAAAAAAAAAAAAAAAAAAAAAAAAAAAAAAAAAAAAAAAAAAAAAAAAAAAAAAAAAGAAAAAAAAAAAAGAAAGACTGCATCATGTAGATAGAAAACATTCTTTTTATACTACTGGTCTCAGCAGTGATAACCTTTATCAAAACCAGTACAGTCCAACAGTTTGAGTGTCATGGCCACTGTACATTCATGCAGAGATATAGAAGCTATGTATAGAACAAGGAAAGGGCTTAAATATAACAGCAGTAACTCTTTAAGCAAAAATTTAGACATTCTTGAAAATAACCTGCATAGGATTACCTGTCAGTGACAGGACCCAGGTAAGAGTCATGCATTCAGGTAGAGTTGCAAAGCTGGAGTTTGGTCTCCAGTCTGCTGCTGAATCTAAACACTAAAACAAACAAAAAAATCAACTATAGCTGGGGAAACTACCTCTGGAGGTAAAGTAGGAATTTACATTTGTGCAGCTTTAATTAAAATTTAAAAAGAGACAGTACAGTGGAGATTAAMCATCTGATCAAAAGGGAACTTGCAGTCTATATGGAGCTGTTCAAGTGATTGCATGGGAAGATTATGGTATTTTCAGCTCTTGAGGACAGTCAGGCATGAAACAACTTTCCCAGGGCCATATAGTCTCCACTGCTGAAGGGTAAGACCAGATCACATGAACACCTAAGCACCATGCTATGACCTTGCGTGGAGAAAGACATTGGTTTAAAAGGCATACTAATATCCCTTTAATCTGAATTATTTTAGGATTTTAAGCTAAATAAACCAAGTTTTATCTTATGCCAAACCTTACTGTGGTAATTTTAAATAAGCCTTTAACATAGCAGATACGACAAGATAAAATTGTTTTCAAATGTCAATGAAAGCATTTGAGTATAGGGCGGAACATATGTGAGGATTCATATTCTCAAAAGTACACACCAACAACACACATAAGATGCCCAAATATATTTTTTATTTAACTCTTAAAAAGTATGTTACTCTTTAGAAAAATGACAGCCTAAGAAATCTCAATACAGATTAAAGTATATCAAATCCTGCATATACCTAATTCTGATGTTTACTTAAACATCAATGCCATCAAACCCAGCATGATATGACTTCTGAAGTCAGTAGCAATGAGGTATCAGGACAGAAGAAACCCTTAAAATAAAGATGAGCTTCAAAGCCTTTGAGCCAAGCAGAGCCAGAGTTCCAGAACACATCCATGAACCATGAAATCTTTCTAACCTTTTTGAACTTCATTTGCTGCCAAAAATACATGAGTGTTATAACAAAGAAACACAAGCATCTCAGTGGACAGTTACAAACTGGTAGGCCAGTTCATCAGTTCAAAGCAGACAAGAGTACAGCACTGTTCTAAAACTGACAAAATAGAGCTTGGGGCAGAAGGGCTGACAGACTAGCATGAACCAATTAAGCTATTTCCCTCAATCTCTAGACAGAAGAAAAAAGAAGCAAGCTCCTCATCGTAGGATGGTAAGATACCTACTTTTTGCACGCTTGGTAAAGTTCTCAGTGTTAGTGCATGAAAAAGTTACTGGATGTTTATTTCTGGATGTGCACAGGGGTGAGGTTACCATAACTATGTGCCAGCAGTACAACTGCATTCATTAATGTGTTTCATATGCGAAGTATTAGCTGAAAATATTCAGCCTTAAATAGCTGGAAATGCATTTTTATTAGTATCTCTATAACCATGTCTTTCCCTTGTTAAACACAGTAGTTTGTGTGTTTTGTTTTTACTCAGTGGCAAAAGCCATCTACTCCACTTAGTCTTAGGGATCACAGTAGGAAAGATACCTCCCATCTATCATTGGCCCCTTCAAGATTTCTGGCATATCTTGATCCAGGAGAACGAGCAATGAAATCCTCATGGTGGGGATAATAAATAGGGATAATTGTGCTGGTGAGAAGGCTCAAGTGGGACATTAATGGTGACAAAGTTTACTTTAAAGGTGCAAGAGTCTAATCAGCTAAAAGTGAGTCCTATTTCAAATGTAGCATATGTCCTAGAAGCAAACTAGACACTGAATGTTGTCTTYGTTACTTTTTAGGAGTGTAAACACTACCTTATGTTCTCAAGTAAGAAGACACTAATCAGACTTAGATGCAGACWCTCAAGCAAATGGAATGATAACTCACAAGATACTCAGTTTCATGCTAAACGAGAATATGTAAACACCCAAATGAGTCACCAATTCAGATAGTACCAGACACCCCGTATGGATTGTCACAACGCAGCACCATAGCAGCATTTTGATTTAAGGCAAAGTCTCGCTGCTCATCCCATCACATTTTACTGAATGGTGGTAGCATTAGCAGCACTGTGATTTACTCTCTGCTTTCAATGGGTCTAGGTCCAGTTTTGGTTTCCCCACATCATTCTCTTCATTAGGAAAGGTCTTGTAATTGGCAAGGATGTTTTCCACCAAGAATCGAGCAGCTTCRTCTATGTTGATGTTGTCCTAAAAATGTTGAAAGCAAAGAAGTCAGTGATTTTTTGAAACAGCCACACATTCATTTTAAAAAGCTGTCCAAAAAGAAACTCTGATCAGCAAGACACAAACAGTTTAGATGCAAGAAGTCATTGCTCACAATTGTTTTTTTTTCTGAAAAACATTAGCAGAATGGGTGAGTAATTTTGTCTCTAACCTTATTACAAACTGAATATTGACTCTAATCTAGTAGACAGCCAGGGGAATAAGCGTCACCTGCATTTGGAAGATTCACAAAYGCCAAACTACATTTCTGCATCAGGAAAGATCCTAGGCAATTACAAAATTTGTGGTATTGTCCTACCTTTTAGGTCCTTTTTCTGTTTCTAATGGAGTTTGGATGTACTTATTTTATGTAAAAGGATCTTTTCTATGAGCCTCAAAACCAATGCATGCATGCATATTTCCCACTGCCTCATCTAGCCACTCTACATATTCTTGTGCGTGCTTTGAAAAGTAGCTTTACATACTCTCTAAAGAACGTATGGAGGATWCTTAATGAGGTACTTTGTCAGAATTTTTCATTTTCTGACGTTCTAAGCTAGCTTAGTGCCAAGGAGTCTCTGGCCACAGGTTTGACCTGGCTGGGCCRTCTATTAGCTCACCATAGGGCTGCTGTGTTTGGAATTGCTCATCTTTGGTTCCAAAGGAAATACCAATCCATGACTAGACTTAAGATTCAATTATCAGTTCCAACCGGAAGGCAAAAGCAGATTAATAGGATATCCAGGTGRGGAAGACTTAACACCATAAACTGTTTTGGTATGGTTATAAAACAATAAARCCATCCTAAATTTTTGCTATTTTAACTACAACTTTTCAGAGTCCTAACCAAGTCATTTCCTAAGCTAAAACTTTTGTCTGGATTTTTCTTTACCCCAAGAATCTTGTTTTACATTGTCCTGTCTTAAATGCCACCTAAAATGCAAGCGGGCACTAGAATTTTTGCATTAGATTTTGTTCCAATGTTACTTGCATTTATTTTTAAACCATAATGCAATTTATACATAGCAGTGTTACAGGCAGGTAAAGCTTCAAATGAAACTTATAACAAGGCAGAACACTGGTATTCTTTTTGAGTACCAAGAGCCTTATAAATTAAGTTTTTAGCAACAGATGGGGGAGTTTCAGAATATTTTTTTCAAAGCAAATTGTTAGCTAATTTAACTAATTCATTTTACTGTCTGTCCTCTTGAAGTAATCAAAAAGCAACTCATTACTTTGTTTCTTATWTTCTTCTTAGAGACTCTTTGCTTTTTAAGAGTTGTCTAAACATCGTTGCATAACACTTCAGCAGCAGCAGTTAAAGGAAGTCGGCAAGCTAAGGGAAAAGTGGGACCTTGAGGCTTATCTTACTTTATAAAGTAAAGTAAGTACTTTATAAAGTAAAGTTTGGCTGATAAATCAAACCAGTTATCTGGTCTGTCAGCCACATTGTCCTCATCTGGAGCTTTCCTTCATTTTAAGAATCAGTTGAGCTTTATAGAAATACTGGATTTCACTTCCAACTAAGCTGCTGGCAGTTAAATAGGTGCATTGACAAAAAGTCTGTAGACTAAAACTGTACAATAAACAAAATTACTCAAAGTTAACTGAATGAAGCAGCTGTCTTTCTTGAATTACTACACAAAACAATTTGCTTTTCTCTAGTTCAGTCTTGACRTTCCCTGATAAAATAGAAAAGTACTTTGACAACACTGTGGGTAGGTAGTAATGAGGAAGCAAATAGCTTGTTCACTTCAAATCTTGCCATTTCTTACATATAACAGTGAAGACAGAAAATGCAATTTATAAACCTGCACCTAAAGATCACCTGTATCTTTTGGATAGCTTGATYACCATTTAGTAACATTAACATCTAAAGAATTACTGATCTTCATGCATGTAGGATGAAAAAACTTAYCAAACTCAGATAATCAAGGTTTCCAGATAGTTTCAAGGTTCTCTATATTTAAGATAAAATTTAATCTAAACCAAATTTGCTTCATCTTTCTCAGGAGTGAAGCTGGCCTGCACATCACTTCAAACTTCTACTGAACACTGTTACTTCCTAAACTTGATAACTTTATTTCCTACATGATTGTATCCATTCCTTCTTATGCCATTATTCAAAAAATAAAAAAAACATTTTTCTATTATGCTCACCTTGGCAGATGTTTCAAACCATCCAACAAAGCCACCTTCTCTGCAGAACTGGTCCATTTGAGATGGATTCTGGCTGCCATCTTTCTTCTGGTCACATTTGTTTGCAAGAAGAACAGCAGGGATGGGGCTGCCATTGGGAAGTAGTACTTTACTGTCCAAATCATGCTTCCATTTTGAAACAGCCTCAAAAGTAGAGCCTCTTGTGACRTCGAAGACCACAAAAGCACCAACTGCCTCCTTATAGTATACTCTGGTCATATTTCCAAAGCGCTCCTGGCCTGAAAGAGAAGACAGTGACAGAGTATATTTTGTATTCATTGTACATGGATTGCTGTACCAGCTTAGCTCATAGAAGTTTGGCATTTGGGTCTAGTCACCTTGTTCATAAAACATTGCCTTCTTTCTCATGTAAGTTCACTSTAACAGCTATTATGTATATTACATATGACAAGTCAGATGCTAAAAGTTTRTGATCCCAACTACTACTTGGAATTTTTCTTAAACTTATTTGTTGGGTAGAGCTCTTTGAGAAGTAAGGCCTAAAAACACTACCAGCACAGCTATACATAAATCATTATTTCATCAAAGAATATTAAGGCTTATATCTAAACCTAGTTGCTTCAGCTAAAGACTTAAGCAAACTCAGCYTTTTGCTGAATAGTGAGCAACAAGGGGTTTTGCAAGCTTCAAGGCTAAGAGCCTTCAAAGCATCATTGGAAGAAGTCACTTATATTATCGATTTTTCCTTAGGAACAAGTTCAAAAGGAGTTGCCAGTTTACAGTTCTGGCTAAATCTGTTACCWTTTACTTCATTTTTAAAGCCTAAGATTTTCTCTGAATTAATTTTCAACTACAGAAGTTCTACAGCAATCCCAGAATTTAAAAAAAGAATAGCTAAAGTACAGTTATTCACAACAAAAATCCAGGGGAAAAAAAAAATTGCCCATGGCAGAGTAAACTAAAAAAAAAACTTTTTAAGTACAACTACTGCAGCCAGAACACTTGAAATACAGAATTAGAGTGTGCCAGTTCAGTTATTCTTTTCTTTGGAAGGTCAGACCATCACGATGTGTTTACATTTGAGTGTGTATAGCAGTATCAAGTCCTAGCACTCGTTCTGGAAGTCTGGGCTACTAAAATAGCTTCCTGCATTGTTTGGAAGTCTTCATTGAGAAAAGCAGTCCCTGCACTCTGATTTAGATTTACAGTGTATTATCACTTCAGCATTTATCATTTAGTATATATGAGGTTTTAGAATACATAAAGAAAGAGCTGCATTTGGAAACCTAGATGTCCTCCATTTATGAAACTTCAAGTCCACCTTTGATTAGCAAGGACAAACAGATACAAGGAGTACTGGATGTATTATCTTCTCATGAGGAGACAGAAGTTCAATAGATGAAAGAAGGTGACAAGAGATCCTGCTTAGCAGTGTGCCTCCCTAGCTGAATTGCCTCCTTTTAATGTCAGTCCTTCACAGTATCATTAGCTCATTCCCCAGACATTTTCAGAAAAGGTTGCCTAAGCAGCTGTTAGAATTGCCTGAAAACAGAAGCAGCCACAGTGAAGCTCCAGAGAATTATAGAGAAGCTGACTTTATTTCTGTCCCACTTTAAACTATGATGCTGCATAAAATAGCATTACTACCCAGCATATTCTTCAGAATGGAAATAACACATTAATTTTTTCACTACTAGCTGATTATCTTGYGTAAGAACAAGCAGGATCCAAGAAGAAAGATCTTATCTCCATATTCAAAACTCAAGTTTTGAAGCAGCATTTATGCCAGGCAGCAAGCCAGGTACCAAGCCTGCATCTCTGTGATGTCTCTGGAAAAGCCACTTTGCTAATACAATTCTCCTAAACAGAGTACRCAAGTAACTCATATTATCTCCCTAAGCTGGACTCTTAGGCCTAACAGAGGATTTTAGAATAGACTTACTACAAATTGGACCATTGCCTACTGTTTCCCCAAATCAAATACCATTATGAAAGTTAGATGAGAAGACTTTTACTACTTCTGCAAGTCAGTGATGTCACATTTAAAGAAACTTTACCCTTAAAATGGAGGGATTTTGGTTTGGGGAGTTTTGGTGTTTGGGTTTTGGGGTTTTAACAGAGTTCCACACTGTCAAATTCAGTTACATTAAGCCAACCACYGCATAGGGCACCCTACAGGCTATGAGGAGCTCCTTCTCAGCTTCCCCATTTGTTTAGCTGCCAGTTCCACCAGCCTTTCCTGCCACATGGGAACACCTTGGACAATGCTAAAGTACTGACTCCAATGTCCTAGTCAGACAGATATCCCTCCACGCCATAGGACAGGTCCACAAAACTAACAGTGTAATCTCAAGGTCTAAAATGCCTATACCGACCTCAGTATTCCACAAAAATAGTTCTTCAAGTCAACCCTGAAATGGTCCAGAATTGACCACTTGTCATTATTTACATGAGACATAAATCTGAAGCAGCAAGGAAAACAGTCCATTAGTCCTCCCCATTCAGTTGCTGGAGAKATAGGAGGCTTCCAGGCTTTACTTGAGGCTGTTTTTACAAACACTTGATGAACATTTGTGTAAGAAAATTACGTTGTATTGATTAGTTGTAGGAAGGGTTGCTAGACTGTTGCCAGCAAGGAGTAGACACAGCATAATCACCTCAAATGAAAACTAAGTTATTTAGGAATTGCAGAAAAGATAATCAGGCAGTTACCATTTTTCAGAAAGCTCTGTGTGTGTAAACATGGCTGCAATCACTAAGCACAGTGAAGGACATTACCACTGACTGAATCCCTTCCTGCCTATTGCTCTCCTATCCAAAAAAAAGCTCTAAAGACAAAAATAGTTGGCAAGGTGACCATACTACCTTCCTATAGCAATAAACATAGCACATGCTGAGCTTCTTGTGGGGGATACAGAGCATTCTAGACAGCCTTTTGAAAATTTAACAGGACTTTCAGACAGAGCTTCTGCAGACACTTTTCTGCTTGCAAAAAATCCCCAAACCCTCATCCAGAAAAAGAAAGCATCATTCTCTTTGTTTTTAAAACTAAGTATCTCAACTTCTGCCACTCACAGTTCAGAGTTTTGTGATGTCATCCTTCCTCTGTTCAGCAGGATGTTTGCTGTAATCATTTCACCATGTGTGACAATAGTGTTGAGCAGTACACAAAGTGGATCATGCTCAGAGGAGAAAAAAGCTAAAAGTGATCAGATTAAACTGGATTTATAATCTCCAGTGCATATAATCTTAGAAAGAAGAGAGCAGGAATTTAATTAATTGCTTAGTACAGCAGTATAGAAAGGACATCACAAGATGAATCATTCTGGTAGGTCCAGTGACTCAGCATAAATCTATGATACCACATGTTGTGGTTTGGACTGCGCTGAAAGCCAAAAGCACTGCACCCACGACGTTCTCTCCTTCCCCCCCGCACCGGAGAGGGCAGAAGGGAGAGCAAAAGCCCAATTAACACGAAAATTTATGGCTTTCAGATAACRTAACATAATTGAGAGAAAGATACGTATGTGCTCCAGAGAATGGTCAGACAGGCTGAATAACTTAAGTTGCAAAACAGATTTATTACTACAAACTACTAAGAATACTACAGCACTGGGGAGGAGAACAGAGATAGGGACAAATTTACAAGGACAAGAAAAATAAAAACGGACATTTTAAGACACCTGTTATCCTTTCTGGGACCCGTCTCTTTCCAAGGTCCTCCCTCTCCACCCCCCCCCCCATGTTTTCCCCCACACACAGGGGACAGGAATGAAAGTCTAACATAGATCAAACTACTCATTACAGTTGTCGTCCAGCATCATAGGAGAAGTGTTCTTACAGCTCCAATCTGTGGAAGTTTTTTTTCCCAAGAACAGTCAGTGTATAACTGCTGGTGGCGAGGGAGTCTTTTTCTTTACCTCGTAGGAGAAAAGAATGTCCTTCAAGGCCAAACTGCATTGTTTCCGCAGCATAAGACCACTATCACAAACCCCTGGCAGAGCACAGCTTCTTCTAAGCATCCACTTACTTCAGACGTAGGGCGCGGGCATCTCCTCCTCCGCGCAGAGCACAATTTCTTCTTAGCATCAACTTGCTTCAAATGTCGTGGGGGGGGGGGCGGGCCAAGCCTCTTCCTCGTTTTTGGCTCCTGATCAGTTCAGTCCAGTCCTCAAAGGCCAGGTTTTCTTCCTTCAGAGCAAGGTCGCTCTCCTTTTCTATACAGGTCTCTCATTGATGAAATAGTCCTTTCGAGAACAACTTATTTCCTCCATGTCCAAGCACCACAGCACAGCACAGCACGCCAATCCCATCTTCTCCTTATTGTGATCTTTGGGTCTCCATTTTTCTTCTTACATCTCCTCACCCTCCTGCTCTGTCTTTCCCCAGTGCATGATACTAAAACTAAATGCTAACAACCTAAAACTACATGGCGGCTGCCCCTATCTTGTTTTGAATTCTTTAAGTACAAGACAATRWGTCATCACAGAGGGGTAACCAACCTGTGCAATTGGCCCAGGCCTGATGGGCAGCCTGTCCATCAMCCTCAGAGCCAYRATGGATTGGCTCTAAAACACAGGGGGTAGGGCTCCTTTTGCTGGAGAAGAAGGAGAAAGTTTCCAGAACCTCCTCACAGGAGCCATCTTTGTGGTTTCTTGRTCCCATACYCCCACCACCAAAAATCGGACCAAGTAAAACCATGACACCACAAAAGGATACTTTCTGTTTTAGAGGTTCRGGTATAAATGGGAAGCTAAGCTACAAGACATTCACAGGGATCAGAGGTTTTATTTGGAGGTATGGAAGTGACTTCACGCAATGCAAGGTTCTGCATTCTCAAACCACAAAATTTTCACATCRAAATGACTCAGCACATATTGTCACCATGTTTTCCAGTAATTGCAACAACCTTAAGTGAAATATTTCCACAATTACGTGCATCAGGAACTAATACAGTTCCCTACAGTAGCACCACAGGAAAAAAACTGAGTTTAAAACTGTATTAAAACTTGGGACTTATTCTCACTCCCCAGTTTGCATTGTAGTAGGGGTGGACTGTAAGTTTAAAACTACATGAAAAAAATTATAGCCAGGTTTTACATTAGAAGCTTTACATTTTTTCCTTTACTTTACTGTAAAAGATAAGTTATTATTGTAACCTTGCCCTGAAGTACATTTTGAAGAGTTTCTACATCAGTCTTTCCCAGCATAAGAGAGGAACATTAGCGTCCTGTTTGTTACAGCAGTGTGACTTGTGGCAGTTCTTGTGTATATTTAG